TGATATGAATAAAAGTGAGGAAAACAAAAAGGAGCTAGTGGGATATGTGAAAATGGAAAATTACATAAAAATTCAGTGGGAAATAATTGAAAATTATTAGGCAAGGTGGGTTAGGCAGTGTATGTTTTCAGTTTGGCAGGATCACATTCTTTTGGGCCAAGATCTACCATGGAAACTAGGGTGACCTTTAAAGACAAATTCATGACCTAGTGTGCATTTAAGCTAAGCAAAACATGGCCAAGTCTCTTAACACGGTATTTATGCAAGTCTTTTGTATTACATCGGAGTGTAAAATTCAAGTCCTTCATGAAATAGAAAATATTTCTTAATGGGAATGTTCTTTGTTTTAAATTATTGATGGTCATAGGATAGGATCTCCTATCCTAAACGATGCAACCTGGTAAAATTCTTGGTTAGAAAGACAAAACATGTTTTCCACATGAGGCCTGAAATACGCTTGAGTTACTATTTTCACTTTAGTAATGACCCTTTGTAATTGGATAATAATACACAAAATAAAAATAGAGGCTAGTTCCCTTTAGTTAGGAATTATAGATATGGCTTAGCAAGTTTAGTCCAGTCCCTCTAGATTATAGTGTTACGTGATTTCTCTGCTGCAATAATATCTCACTATTTCTTGGCCTTAATTTGTCAAGCCAGACATTTCCAACTTCTTTAATACCTGGAATACTGAGGATACACAAACCAGAAATACATATAATCATTTTACTTATTCTCCCCTCATAACATGGAAAAATAAATTGTAGATGGAATAAAGAGCCAAATATCCTGTGCAATAATTTTTAAAATCTACGTTGAAGAAAGCATAATAAATGGCAAAAATCTCTCTAAATCCTGTCTTTAAATATTGGTCATTACAGCCTCTGGATTCAGAAAAAGGTTTGCAAAGCAAACCACAGAAAAGAACGAAAGCAACTTAAGAGCAGTTCTTCTGTCTGACAAGAGATGTGCCTGAACAATCGGATGGAAAAGAAGCACAATGATCATTCTAACACATGAAAAAGATTTTTATAGCACTCTTTTCTATGAGAAAACTATTTTTAGAAACAATTGATTATAAAACAAATTATTTTAATATCTAGAAAAGAAATATACACTGAATATTTTACTTTATTAAACTTTGAACATATAGTCATGCCACTAGAAGGATAAAAACAACGAAGGGCAAGAAAGGAAAAAAGTAATGCATTCGTGTGCTTTAATTACAGTAATGTCTTTTTTTTTAAACAGGGAAAAACTTGTGGATAAATATTAGTCTGAGGCAATAATGATGTTGAGCATGTACTACAAAAGCTAAATTCTAGTCTATTTATATTTTCTTAATGAAGTATCTTCTGAAAATGTATCAGAAAATATCAGAATATACTTTCCTAATAAAGTATGTTCTTAAAATAGATCTTCTTTGAAATACTTAGACCATATATCCAGATACATATATTTTTGTCCATCCATAAGTGAACAAAGAATACTTCCACTAGTTTAATTCTGAGAAGACTTTTTACACAAAGTGATATGTTCATATATACTTAGGAAAATATGTGAACATGAAGGTATGTTTGATGGAGAGTCATAAAAATTCCATAGTAAATTGGATTACAAAAAGTACAATAATATGATATGTCTGCTGCTTGGAGATTGATTCCATGAGCTTTTAAATATCTCAGCAGTAAAAATAAATTAAACACAGAAACTCTAAGCAATCACATAGAATGATATAATTGATATAAGATTCTTCATATTCATGATATTCTTTTTTTAAAATTTTGAATATGCTGCATAAAGACAGGGATATTCAAGCACCACTGAAGTTGAACACAAAAATAAAATCTTTAAAAATAAAATCTTTAATCTTTAAAATAACACGTGAAGCTGAATCTATCTCTGTCAAGGACAAAAGGTTTATGTCGGAGTTTTCTGAATTAATTTCTATGCAGAATGCAATCTTTCTTAAAAGATAAAACAAATGTGCTATTAGAAGTTTTCCTCTTATATTCTTTAAGAGTATTCCTTAGTATTCTTAAGTATATTCTTTAACATACATATTCTTAAACTCCAATATTGATGACAAACATTACTGAATAACTAAAGAGTGAGTCTTGGAAGGGATGCACCTTCCTGCATCAAGCACCTCACCATCACTCCAGTGTCGTCTATTGATGAAGCTTAACATCCAGATAGCTGGCAAAGGAGGAATGCTTACAGGATCCTGGTTCAGTATCATAAAGCTATATTTGGATCTGAGGGACAATACATTGAAAACTGATGAGGCATAAAATTTCAAATTTCACATTTGTTATTATTCTAAAAGTTGTACCCTTGGGCACTGAATCTTGGTAAAGTTCGGATGAGTAGGAGGCATGGCTTTCTTTTGAAAATAACATTTTTGAAAGTGGGGAATATAGAGGTTCTGACAAAGGTGAGCTTAGATTTGGCCCAGTGAGTCCACAGTTCCACTGGTGGTCACTTACCTAATGTCCAAATATATATTAAGAATTGTGATACTAGCAGGTTGGATTTTTGATTTCAGTAGTTGCTAGCTCGGACTTGGTTAGAGGGAATCTTGTTGTGCTGGCCCATGTGTGTCCTTCACCTATCACCACTCTATTCATACTCCCAACAAAACAGCACTGGAGTTTGGTGTTTTACCTATGATAAATATGAATTTTTACCAGTTCAAAGTATATGAAGACATATCATTGATTTCATTGTTAGTCACTTTTGGGTTTTTGATACAGTCAGAACTTTGTTCCTGTACTGCTCTCATTTTTTCAAGTGATATTTTTCATTAGATTCTTTTTTAGTATAGAGACTTTATTGAGGATAAATTTGTTATTCTTAAGAGATCCAGAATCCTAAGTCATCGTGACCATGGCTCACAGTGACTAGCAAAGAAGCAAAATGAATAAAGGCCAAATAAACAAGTAAAAATCAATGAATAATCCTTAGACAAGGTGAAGTTTGCATTTGGATTGATAAATAATAATAAGGACATTCAGGTTGCAAGAGGAAGGACAGGATGAAATAAAAATTGAGACAACCACATTCAATCAGGGCATAAATACTTTAATAAAGCATATAATGGGTAGTTAGGACCAAGAAAATAACTAGAAACAAGAGAGTTTTGGAAGAAAAACTAATCAGGAAAGCTTTAACAGAAGGTGTTAACAAGGAACACTTTTAGATTTTAATCAGTTTACTGGTAATTTCGAGGGCATTAAGTGATTCTTCTTGGGGGCTGTATCAGTTAATCATTCATTTCCACTTTATGTCATCAACCAACATTTCATATAATTAAGGAGCACATTTCTGATTTCAAAAATATCTAATTATTTTTGTATTCATCTTTCTCACCTCATCCCATTCTTGTTTTAGGTTATTGATTCTTTAATCTCTGAACATTTGAATCATGCTTATTTAAAAATCTCATTTTGTAAAGTTACGGTGGTTCACATCTGTAATCTTAACCCTTTGGGGTGCTGAAATGAGAACACTGTTTGAACCCAGGAGGTTGAAATCAGCATGGACAGCACAACGAGAGCTCCTCACTACAAAAAATAAAAAAAAATGAGTTGAGCGTGGTGACATGCCCCTGTGGTCCCAGCTACTCATGGAGCTGAGGTGAGAGAACTACTTGAGCTCAGTAAGTTGAGGTTGAAGTGAGCCGTGATCACACTACTGCACTCCAACCTGGAGGACTGAGAAATGCCTTAAAAAATCAACATAAAAATCAAAAATCAAAATCTCATTCTGATTGTTCCCTCTATCTAGAATCCTTGAGTGCAAATCTTACAATTGTGTATGATTGCTTAGTTCCTCATGTCGTTTTCTTGAGGAAATCTTCAACAGGTGCTGCTTTCTGCAACATCCCTCACTTTTTGTATTGTAGGAACATCGTTTCACAATTTTTTTCAATTGTCTCTTCTGCAGTCTAGGGAGATCTCTAGTTCCACACATTTTTTCCTTACTTATTTTTTAACAGGATGTCATTGCACCCTGTAGAGTAAATTTTGCTCCCTACTTCTAGAGACTATGTCTCATTAATTTTCCTCCCAAAAGTCACTTTGTCACAGCTCTTACAAGCATCTAGTCACAAAATTCCCTCCGATTGTAACAGTCAGTAAACATCCTTCCTTCATTTTTTGTTGGTTTGTTTGTTTTTACTCTAACACCAAATCTGGAGTGCAGGGGCACAATCTCGCCTCACTACAAACTCTGCCTCCCTGGTTCAAAGAATTCTCATGCCTCAGCCTCCCGAGTAGCTGGGATTACAGGCATCCGCCATGACATCTGGCTAAGTTTTGTATTTTTAGTAGAGACAGGGTTTCATCATGTTGGCCAGACTGGTCTCGAACTTCTGACCTCAGGTGATCTGCCCACCATGACCTCCCAAAGTGCTGGGATTACAGGTGTGAGCCACCAAGCCTGGCTCTTCCATCATTTTATACTAGGCTATATATATTGTTCTATGTCATCTTTTCTTGTAGATTTGTATGTGTCTGCAGTAGAATAAATGGGAAAGAATTGAGTCACTTATGATCACCTCAGTATTCTATACCATATGATTAATTTGAGGCCTGTTCATAGGAAACCTACTTTGTACTTAAAATATCTATGAATAAATATTTTACAATGCATAATAAAGGTTTCAATAGTTGCAAAATTTTCAATTCACACACTTTTATGATTTTACAGTGTTTCTATTGTCAATATATAATGAATTTGCTAGTTGCACAGTGACTTCTGTTGACTAACTCAACAGCTTATATTTTGGTGATTTTGAGACATGACTGAAAATACTTTGACATTCTAATCAAACCATGGTCCCTACCCTTGAACTTTAGCAAAGCTTGTGGCTGCCTCAGCAAAGAAAGTATAGTAGAACTGACAGCGCAATTTTGAAGACTGTGTTAGAAAACATAGTACATTATCTCTGTCTCCTTCTCTCTGTCCACTTTTCTGTCTTTGTTTTTACTTCTATCTCTTTCTTCCTCTCTGTCCTTCTTCTCTCTCTTTTTCTCCCTCTGTACACTTTGGAGCCCTGTGTTACAGCCAAAGTCTTGACGATAAATGACAGCTTCGGGAGTAGTGCACAGAGGAGACGAGGAAGTCATGATTATCCAGTCAAAAAGGAGTTTCAGTCTTTCCCTATTAATCACTAAGTATGTGAATGAATGACCTTCAGATGATGACATCCCCAGCTGTCATATGAAAGGAACAACCTGAGAAATACTCTGTATGAACCACCTGGCTGAGTCCACCCAAAACTCATGCTATGAGAGTTCTAATAAAATGCTTATTGTTTTTCAAAGTCCCCACATTTGAGGGTAGTTGGTTATGAAGTGAGAGTTAACTAAAATGATATTTCTAAAAATTTAATTATACATTCATAATTATATATAACTAATATTGAGGCAAGAAAATGAAAACTACAAATGTAACATTTTGAAAATAACTGTAATCCAGAAAGGGAGGTCAGCATAGCATGGTGATTAAGAGCTCTTGCGCTCCGGATCCAGTTAGGCTGGATTCAAGTCCCTGCAAAACCACTACAGAATTATATGGGGTTTGGCAAGTTGAATCACCTCTATGCCTCAACTTCTCCATCAGTGAAATGAAGATGAAGTAATGGCATTATCTTGTGGCTGATGAGAGGATGGATGCATTAATTTGGTAAAGCACTACAGTTGCTGTATGTAGCAAACTAAAATTGCATTAATTATAATAATTATTAGCTAGACAGAAAAATTTCCACTATGATTTGAGTCCTTACCTAAGTTGCCTCATATATTTTTAAATGTATCATGTTTCAAAAGTAAATGATAAAAATGATAGCATTTGCTATTTTAAATATGTCAGAATTAAATTTATTATAATTTAATTAACCAAAGGTTGACAAATCAATTGGGTCCTCTGTTCAAAATATTGTCAGCCACATGTTTACACGTTTTCTTTAAATATTTGAGATAAAATTACATAAAATAACATGTACTGTTTTAACCATTTAAAAGTTAACAATTCAGTGGCATTCACAGTATTGTGTAACTATCACTTCAATCTAGATCCAAAACTGTCACCAACCTAAAAGGATGTTTGTACACGTCAGACAGTCACTCTCCATTCAAGCTTGCCCTATCTTGGTTACGTGGCATTTTGTGTTAAAATCATTCTGCTGTATATTAGAAGATTTTTTTAAGACATGCAAAAATTATATGTTTTTTTCTTAATTCTCTTGGTGTTATATATCACATTTATGGGTTTGCATAGGTTTAACCTTCCCTGCATCCCTGAGATAAATCCCAGTTCATCATAGTGTATAATCTTTTTGATGTGCTGTTAAATTTTATTGGCTAATATTTGCTGAGAATTTTTGCATCTATGTTCATCAGAAAAACTGGCCTACAGATTTTTTTTCTGTATTTTTTTTTTTAATTCTTTTGGCTCCTTCTTTCTGGTTTTGTTATCAAAGTGATCCTTAACCCAACCATAAAACCCTATGTTTTAAAGCATTCAATTCTCCTTAATGTTTTGGAAGAAATATTTTAGAAAAACTGTTTAACTATTTTTTTAATAATTTGAATAAAATCAGTACATTTTATGTTAGTTTTTATAGCTGCTTCAATTTTGTTACTCATTATTTCTCTCCTCATGTTTCTATTTCTTCATAATTCAATCCTGATCGGTTGTACATGTCTAAAAATTTTGTCTATATCCTTTAGATTTTTTGATTTGTTGGCAGGTACTTGTTTATAATAGTCGCTTATAATCCTTTGTATTTTTCTGTATTAGTTGTTATGTATCCTTTTCATCTTTTATTTAATTTATTTGAGTCATCTCTTTTTATAGCTATTCTAGCTGAATCTTTTTCAATTTATGTATTTAAAAAAAAACAACTTTTCTCTTCTTAATCTTTAAACATTTTACAAATGATTTTTTTTAACTTTCCATTTATATTTTCTGTGTTTCCTGACTTCTTTCATGAAAAGATGTGCTCTGAATTCTGTGTCAGAAATTTTATATGTATTTATTTCTTCTGCATTAGGTGAGTTCTGTTGTTTTTTAGCGGGATCGTATTTCCTTTCATCTGTACATTGCTGTTTCCATATTTAAAGAGATACCCACATGTTCTAGCTTTTATAGGTGTATTCTTGTGTTGTAGGTGTATTTTATAGGTGTATTCTTGTGTCAATCATTTCTATTTATTATTGGAATCTAATTCCTTGCCACCAGTTGCTTTTTGTTTGGGCAAGGACTTAATATTTGCCACCAGAATTTAATACTGCACCAAAAGTCAATATTTGCTGTAATGTTGTTTTCTAGTCTCGGGAGACTTATTGGGAGCATCTGAACTTAAATGCTGCACTGGAACTTAAAACCAGACTTGCAGAGTTTTCTAGGTCTGGGAGAGATTTAAACAATCCTTGGAACTTAATTTCAAACCTTTTACTTGCTTCCCCGTCATGGAAAATCTCCACATGACTACCTGGGAATTGTAAAAAATCTTGTCAAAGATTCAAACCTTCCTTTAGATCTTGTCCCTGCATTGCTATGGTTCTGGTCAGACTCCTCAGTGTGGTGTCCCTGTAGCTAGGAACGCAAAGCAGATGTCAAGATCTCTGTGGCGATCACTGTGATTACTACTCTCATTTCTGGTCTCAAATTTACCCCAGGTGGTTCAGCCCTATGAATACTCTTAATACCTCCTGTGCGGTGGAACAAATGTGGGCTTTCCCCCCAAATTTACAGATCTATGAAGAAATTATATGTCCACTTGAAATTCCCTCGTCCCATTTCAATAACCACAGGTAAAAGGAAGTTCTCTCACAGTAGTGTCATTTTGGTGTGTGGAAGGCGGGTAGTACAGTCCAAAAAATTATTCATCTTACCAATCATAAGTTTTCTCATGTCCATGAGTCTTGGGGTTTTCTCCTTCTCTATTGAGATCTGGTGAATTCAG